CAAACTTTTAATAGTATTTTGATTTATTTATTTATTTTAGTAGTATTTTAAATTTTGGTTACTTTAAAATTATTTAAACAAAATCCATGGACAATCCCGCAAATCCGCATACATTTGCGGGACGGGTTTGTATTTCATATATGCTACCCGCGGGTCGTGCGGACCGACTAACTACAAGTCAAAATATTTTTTGTCTATCGCAAAACGGACTTAACGGGACGAATCAACTCGCTTTGACAGTTCTAATGGGAATATTATTTAGTCATACAACAAAATGAAGTTTGGACATAGTAATAATAGAATATGTATCTTATTTGTTAGATGAGAGATTGAAAGATGAAGTATAATGATTAAAAATTAATTATTATTTTTCATGACTCACAAAATTTAATAAATACTTATCATCTTGTTGAATAATTCTAAAATCATATTCAAGAAATCTTTATAAATTGAAAATTAAACTTCTTTGGTAAGCTATAGGTATGAAAATATCATAATTTCGATTTAATCTAATTAAATTAAAATTAGTTACATGGATTTCATATCTATTTAATTTACACGACCAAAATAAAAATATCTATTTAATTTACACGACTAAAATAAAAATATCAATTTAATTTATAAAACAGATGGGTTATTTGTGATAAATTTTCTAGAAATCTTTAGAAGCAAGTAAAATATCTTTCAATTAATGATAATTGGCTAAAATGAGCGAAATTAATGACAAAAACGTTGATTGTTATGGAATTAGTCCCAAAAATATACGAACAAATTTATTATACGTAATTAATGTATAATATTGTTTGGAATATGCTTTTATTATTAGTTACCATAATACAATCAGATTTTATTTGATTTCCATAAATATTTGATTTTTTTTCGATTTTTCATTATTATTTCGAATTTATATTTCAAAAAAATTTCAAAGATCCGATTTCAGAATTTCGGATAAATTTTCTGATTTTAACCCGACCCATTTTCATTTGTACTTCTCTTTTAATAGTATCGAGATAGTAGTTTGAATCATATCATGTAATTACCCTTTCACATCAGGTTTTAAAGCAATTTAAAATACCGGATATTGTAGGCCTTAGACCATCATTATCAATAGGCTCTTAAGACAACTCTTAACTAAGAAATTTGTCTTATAACTAACAAAAGTCTCTTAGGTAAGAAAATTTTGTTAGTTATAAGACATATTTCTTAGTTAAGAGTTGTCTTATTGATAATGGTGCTCTTAGGTTGGTATTCTACTCTAAATAATGTTTAAATTATAATATCAATAAGTGTGAAAAACTTGTATGAATATAAATGTGTTTGTACAAAACATTTAAAGCTTTAGTGAAATAAACTTATTTTGTCAATGACTTGCTCTCTTTTTCAACACTGTCGGGAATAATTTATAAGTGGGAACAAAAACTTGAATTAAGCTCATTTGCTTATAACCATTTAAGTTTAACCAACGTGATTTGGATGAACATCCCAGTCAATTAGTCAAACCCAGATTATATAATCCGTTCGACGGGACCAAGTCAACCTGAATCATTTCACACTACCATTTTCACATTTCTTGGTTATTACTATAAATTTATTAGTTTATGATCAAGTGTCTACTTAATCGGCTGAAAAGATGGGTTCACTTTATAACACAAGCAATTGTTATAATAAAATTAAAATTTGATTACGTCAAGAGTCGGTTAAAAGCCGTAAACAAGTCAAACATGTTAATCTTCTCGAGATCCTTCTGTAACATGTAATCCTAATATGAAAAATGCTATGACTTCTAGAACTTTTAATATATACTTTAGTACTGCACTGTATAAATTAGAATTACTTAAAGCCGTTAGGTGATATATTAATTATGTAAGTAGTTGGACGTTTCACCTTTGACCTTATTTCAATTCTTAGACATTTATACAGTGTTCAAGAAAGCGCTAGGCGCTAAGCGGGCGGTGATCCAGTGCCTAGCGCCTAGAACGCCTAATCGGGGCCTAGACGATTTTTTAGGCGGTTTAAACGTTTATAACATAAAACATTATCAATATGATATTATATATAAAAGTTATATAAAATATCTATATAAAACTAAAAATTATGAAATTATAAATAAAATTAGATAAAATATTTATTTATATTTATATTAAACAATATATGAATATTTATAACTATATATATAAATAAAACTCTAATTGAAATTGAAAAAATACATTAAACAAGATCTATGTAATTTTAGGCGGTCAAGGCGGTTATCTAGGCGTCGCATGAGAACCTAGCGCCTAGTCGGGGCCTAGGCGACCGCCTAGACCGCTTTTTAGAACACTGCATTTATATCTCCATGTAATTTCTTTGACAAACTAAAGATAATTATCCCAATGTTAAAAATAAAGCAAAAAATCTGCAAGAAACAATTAGTGTTTGAACGCTGAAATAATACTTTCCTTATAAATATATTTCAACAGGAAAAAAAAAACTAATCTTTTGATTTTTAATCATGATCAATCAAAACAAAATCACTATAGTCATTTTAACAGCTTAAATCAAATCACTCAAAGTTAACAACACCTTTATACCAATAATTTTGACTCACCATGTTTATAGTATTAGTAGTTGTGTTAAGTGGTTTAAGTAGAGGTAAAAGAGTTGTTAGATTGGATATGAACAGTATGTACTCTTTCTTGAAAGTTGACATTAACAATGACAAATCAACAATGTCGTTTGGTCTAGTGGCAAGGCAGAATTGGGGAAATATTGGAAAGAAGTAACCCACGTTCGATCCACCCTGAAAACAAAATTATATTTGTGTGGGAAGTCTGGGCTTGGGCCTTGGCACAAGCAATTCACATGGTATCCGGGATCAGGCTAACTGGATACCCCAGGCATTAGTCGGAAAGCATTCCAAACTTGGGGTTAGGCAGTGTGGTAGTCCAACACCTAGGTGTTGGCGACGAGTACACATTGTAGTACTTAGGTTGACATTAACAATGACAAATCAACAATGTTTTTATGGGATCATTGGATAGGGGCAGGTCATCTTATTGATGTAACAAGAGATTTGGGGTCACTACATCTTGGTATTAACAAGTATGCTCTTGTCGCAGGTTGTAAACAATGAGAAGTGGAGCATTAGACGGGCGAAGGGCAGAATTACAGATTTGTAGCTAACCTTATCATCCCTATATCTCCTCCATCTCCATTGGCCAGCTTGGCATGATACGATTCTGTGGAAGCACAAAGACGGAGATTTCTGGCAATCCTTCTTCTCAAAATGCACATGGGATCTCATTCGCAGCTCTGCCCCTAAGATTTCATGGTCTCGGACAGTTTGGTTCGCACAAGCGGTTCCGCGCTATTCCTTTATTACTTGGCTAGCCATCAAAGACAGACTCTCTACGGGCCAACGACTCTCTACGGGCCAACGACTCTCTACGGGCCAACGAATGTAACGTTGGGGTCAAGAGCAGCCCTGCCCGTTATGCGGTGAGCGGGATGAGTCTATAAATCACCTTTTCTTTGTTGTCAGTATACGTTCTCCATTTGGTCTGTGTACTCCTCTTCTTAAAAGGCATACAACTCCCGATTTGGTCCAAGACTATCTGAGCCATCACAACACGGTCCTCACCTACTATTGACGTGGTTCTCATTCGGATGATCCTCCAAACGACGATTTACCATGTTTGGAGAGAACGCAACAGTCGCATACACAACTCTGGCCATCAGCTTACACAGACCCGTCTCAAATAGGGTGGGCAGAAGGGCTCCGGCCCATGGGCCTGTTTTCTTTTAAAAATAATATTTAGATATAGGATCCATTTTTTTTAGAAAAATAGTAGAAAAAGAGTCCAAAAATAGACCCAACAATAATTTTTACTGGGTCTATTTATTTTTAAGATCTATTTATGTTTAAAATAGGTCCAAAAGACTCAATTTTTTTTTTTTTGCCATAAAGCATTCAAATTTGTTGGACCGGGACTGCTTACAAGTTCTATCAACAAAGATAATACGACTTAAATCCTTAGCTTCAAATACCGACCGGAAAGCAAGAATGGAGCTTTCCTCACTCAATGGACTTCACTCCAAAGCTCTTCGTCCTAAGAGGAATGGTTTGTCTCTGTTCTTCATTTTTTAATCTGTTTCAGTTTATAAACTTGTTTAAAACTATCCTAGCATTTTCCAAATTCTTGTTAATAACTTTTTTTTTTGTTGATTAATCAATTTAACATTTCAAACAAAAAAAATCATAACAAATTCTCGCCAAAATCACGAGCTTTTGCTTTCATTGGCTAGATGCCTATATCTATATCCTTCTCAATGGTTGAAACTAAATTTTACTAAAGATGTTTTGATATTAAATCTCATTCTATTGCTATATCGGGGAGTGTTGGATTCTGGGATAACATTTTAATTACCTTTTTGTAATAGACCTTCTTCTTTCAAGTATACATCTATTACCTAGTCGGCTAGTCCTAGTTTATTTGTTATTATTCATTCACTAAAACTTCCTTCTATTGTAGACTGTCCAGAACAAATCTTAATTTAAATTACAAAACCAGTCACAAAAATATTGTTACACAATAAATAGTGAATATGGGCAGAATAAAGACAAACACAAATAACCAGCTTAGTGTCTGAGTTTTATGCAATACGGAAAAAATGTCAAAAACAATCCTCCACCTTTGTCTTGGATGACACAATTAGCTATTTTTACGGGTATATTGCTATATGGAGCCCAAATTAAAATTGCATCAATAATGTCTTCTCCATGTAATGATGATTTGTTTTCGTTTAATGAACCTTTAATATTTTATGCGACGGTGTTATCATTTCCAAATATTCTAACATCAACTAGTTGTTCAAGAACCAAATTTGTTAATAAAGAAAGACCGCCGGCCAAATAATAGAGTTCAACTAAACATTAAATAACCAAAATTCTCCTCTAAATATAATTAAAAATGAAAAAGTACCAACCATTCGGTCTTTATAGCAAGAACCAACTTAATTAGTCTCTCATTAAACTTTATTTCTCCATGGAAACACTTCCGTATTATACTCGTTTAGAACCTTTATGCCGTCTATCAGATCCGGCTCAGCCTCACACACTTGATCGGGTGGAATCTGAGAGTCTCACTCCAAACTCTATATGCTTCACTTGCAAAGGAGAAATTTTGCAAAACAGTGAGTACTACTCATGTTACTATTGTTGTATTTGCGATTTGAAATTTCATTTTGGTTGTGACTTGTTGCCACCGGAGATTAGACACCCTTTTCATCCCTCTCACCCTCTTACCCTCATCTCACTAGATCTTGAAGTTAATAGTTCTAAGTTACCTCTTGATGATGATGATGATGATGATGATGATGATGATGGGAAGCATGAAAAATGCAAATGTTGTCGGAAACGACTTAAAAACGTTTATTATCATTGTTCTGTTTGCAAATTCAGCTTCAATGCTTCTTGTACAACATACCGACCACCTCTCACTATCAAACCACCAAAGAGCCATGAGCACACCCTCACCCTCTTCCCTAAAAGACTCCCTTTGCCATGTGATGCTTGTGGCTTGTCTCTGGAAGATCAAACCGATCATGTTTTCACATGTCATCCATGTAACTACATGGTTCATGGAACATGTATCTATTTACCCCGTGTCATTAAAATCACCCGTCACCCTCACCGTCTCTCTTTTACTACCTCCCTTTCTCCTGGTGATCTGTCTTGCGGGGTTTGTCGCAAAACCGTAGACATCAATTATGGGCAGTACTCTTGCACTAAAGGATGCCATTATGCTATCCATTCAAAGTGTGCAACGAGGGAAGATGTATGGGATGGGAAAGATCTTGAAGGAGTGCTTGAAGAAAATGAAGAAGACGAAGATATTGAGTCATTCGTCAAGATTGATGAGAACACAATACAACATTTCAGTCATGACCATTATATGAGGCTACAAAAGAATGGAAGCCTTGGAGGTCATGAAAGCAAGTTTTGTGATGCTTGCATTCTTCCACTAATACCTTCAGATAGTTTCTATAGTTGTATGCGGTGCGAATTTGTCCTCCACGATGTATGTGCTTACCTTCCTCGAAAGAAAAACCATCCGCTACACAAACACCCGCTTGTCCTCCTCCCAACGCCCACTGAGTTCTACGTATTCCCTCCCGAGTTTTGTGTTGAAGACATGTTCACATGCAACGGGTGTGACCAATTAGGTTGTGGTTTCGTATATGAATGCGCCAAAGATGATTGTGGATTTGTACTTGATGTAAGATGCGCTTCAGTTCCGGATCCTTTAAACCATGAGTGCCATCCTCATCCCCTCTTCATCAACTTGACTAAAGGTGAATGTATGAGGTGTAAGTCAATCTCCAATTCCTCATATTTCCTAGAATGTGTTAAATGCAAATCATTTTTGTGTCTCACTTGCGCTAATGTGCCTCGTGTGACACACTACAAGTATGATAGTCATCCACTCACGCTTTGCTACGGAGAAGAAGATGCAACAAATCTCAAATATTGGTGTGAGATATGCGAATTCAAATTGGATCCAAAGATATGGTTTTATACATGCGACTGTTGTAGGGTTACTCTCCATGTTACATGTTTATTGGGATTAAACATGTACCTGAAGCCTCTACTGACCATCAAAAATTACAATGATGTTAAAGAGAAACTAAAAGCTTAGAACACAAGTAATTCAACAAAGTATAACTCTCTTTATTGATTGTTTAGAAACTCTCTTAAAACTAAACAAGCTTTCTCTAATCTCTCTTAAGGTTACAACTCAACCCTAGAGGTCTATTTATAGGGAACACAACTTTGTTAATTCTAAACACATTAGGAAAAGATAACTCCTAAACCTAATGGAACATTCTAGGCCTATCTTAATCTTTAACCTCCTCATTAAAGATATCTTGGGCCTTAAGCCTTTGAAGATTATCCAACATTCACCCCCTTAATCTTCAAGTCTTTCTTTGAGAGGTCTTCAACTCCTATTACACTTCTCATTTCCTTGAACTTGGTTCTTGCAAGGGCTTTAGTTAGGATGTCAGCTCTCTGTTCTTCCGCGAGAACAAAATCCACTTCAATTTGCTCATTTTCAACACACTCTCAGATGAAATGATAGCGCTTGTGAATATGCTTGCTTCTTCCGTGAAACACAGGGTTCTTAGTGAGCTCTATTGCAGATTTGTTGTCAATATAAAGAAACATCTTTACAAAGCTTTGTCCTGTTATCTCACTTAACAATTCTTGGAGCCACAATGCTTGTTTTGCTGCCTCTGTTGCAGCCATAAACTCTGCCTCGCAAGATGACAAAGCGACTGTTGGCTGCTTCTGTGAACACCAAGTGATTGGTGAGTCTCCGTAGTAGAATACATGGCCTGTGGTGCTTCTCCCATCATCATGATCAACATTGTGGCTACTATCGCTGTATCCCTCTATCTTCTTGGTTCCTCCTTTTTTATATGTCAAACCATAAGCTAATGTACCCTGCAGATATCTCAAAATTTGCTTTAATGCATTGCTATGAGATTCTTTAGGATCCTGCATATATCTACTTACTACTCCAACTGAGAAAGTAAGATCCGGTCTTGTATGCAGGAGATACCTCAAACAGCCTATCCTTCGACGATACATAGTAGTATCAGCTTCTGATTTTTCTTCTTGAGCTTTAGACAACTTCAGACCAAACTCCATTGGAATGTGAGATGGATTACAATCATCTAAGCCAGCTTCCTTTAGAATTCTCCTTGCATAAGCTTCCTGCTTCAGTTCAATGCCATCTTTACTCTGTTTTACTTCAATGCCAAGGTAATAGGTGAGTTTCCCTAGGTCTGTCATCTCGAACTTAGAAGACATTCCTTTTTTGAACTCTTGAATCACTCCAAGTGAATTTCCTGTAACAAATAAATCGTCGACATATACTGCAACAAGAAGTAGCTTTGTACCTTCTGACTTGCGATACACGGCATTTTCTTTAGAACACTTTAAGAACTTCAAACCCTTTAGGATCTGATTAAGCTTTGTGTTCATGCACGAGGGGCTTGACGCAAACCGTATAAAGCTTTAGAGAGTTTGAAAACTTTATGTTCTTCTCCCTTCTTTTCAAAATCCTCCGGTTGAGTCACATATACGTCTTCTTTAAGTTCTCCGTGTAAAAAAGCGGTTTTAACATCGAGATGATGGACCTCCCATCCATTAGATGCTGCAACTCCTACTAGCAATCTTATGGTTTCAAGTCTAGCGACTGGAGCAAAGACTTCATCGAAATCAATTCCGGATTCTTGTGCATAACCTTTTGCAACCATTCTAGCTTTAAACTTGTTTATTGATCCATCAGCATTTCTTTTAATCTTGAAAACCCATCTCAGACCAATGACTTTAACTCCCATTGGTTTTTCCATTAATGTCCATGTCTTGTTTTTGTTGATTGAGTTGATCTCTTCTTCACAAGCTCTTACCCATTCTACTAACTCTTTTGCCTCTTGAAAGTTTATTGGCTCATCATTTATGGATAACAACAATCTTTCACATTTTATATCCATCAATAGAGCATAGTCTTCAAGATATTTAGGACGTTTAACTTCTCTTTCAGATCTCCGGAGTGTTGGTTGAACATTAGCACTTGAGTCAGCAATTGATTCATCTATGTGATCAGTATCATCATCAAGTTCATCATTATGATCTTCAATATTTTACTATTACTTGCATATGGACCCTCTCCTTCATCAATAACTCCTCCCCAAGTCATATGAAACATTCCTGGTGATTTGTCTAAGTCCTCATTAGCTCCCTTCCAAGTCCAGCCCTGTTTCTCGTTGAACACAACATCACGGCTAACAACAACCCGTCTGGTTGTAGGATTATATAGTCTATATGCCTTAGTACCAGGCTCTATCCCAAGATGAACTAATGTCTGAGACCTATCATCAAGCTTCTTCAAGTGAACTGGCTCTGTTTTTGCGTATGCAAGGCATCCAAAAACTTTAATGTGACCAATGTGTGGCTTCTTATCTCTTAAACACTCATAGGGCGTTTGATCCTCTAAAGCTCTTGTAGGAACCTTGTTGATCAAATATGTTGAGTGTCGTACTGCTTCACCCCAAAGAAAATTAGGTACTCTCATGGCTTTAAGAATACTTCTTGTCATCTCCATTAACGTACGATTCCTTCTTTCAACCACACCATTTTGCTGCGGAGTATAGGGAGCTGTCAATTGTCTCTTGATCCCATTTTTATCGCAGTATTCTTGGAATTCTCTAGAGGTAAATTCTCCACCTCTATCCGTACGCAAAGTAACAATCCCTTTATTGCATTCTTTCTCCACCAGAGTCTTGAATGTTTTGAATTTTTCAAAAGATTCACTCTTTTCTTTTAATAGGATAGACCACATATACCTTGTATAGTCATCGATGATCACAAAAACATACCTGTTGTGAGCCATTGTAGCCGGGGAGGTTGGTCCACAAAGGTCAGCATGAATGAGTTCTAATGCATGTGATGCTCTGTATGAGGATGCATTAGGAAATACTTGGCGAGTTTGCTTACCAACTAGACATGACTCGCAGAGTTGATTTTCCTTATTGATTCTTGGTAGGCCATGAACCATCTCTTTTGTTGACATAGCCTTAAGTGTTTTAAAACTGATATGACCAAGTCTCTCATGCCATCTCCATGTTTCATCATCAATTCCTGAATGTAAACATGCCGGTTTGCCAATGGTGAGGTTGATTTTGTATAACCTGTTAGGAGACCTTAGAACTTTTACCAAAAGTCTTCCATGCGGGTCATGTAGTGTGAGATAGTTTTGTCTCATTCTAATGTCACAACCATGCTCGGTTGCTTGTCCTATACTGAGGATATTACTTTTTAGGCCAGGGATAAAGTATACATCTGACAACAGAGATTGCTCTCCAGTCTTCCCTTCAAATAGTATTGCTCCTTTACCACCTATGTCTACACACGATCCATCTCCAAACTTCACCTTGCCTCTAATATTCTCATTCAATTCTGAAAAGAAAGATTTTACACCTGTCATATGGTTACTTGCACCATTGTCTAAGTACCATGTTCCTTCTTCTTCCTTCTCTTTCTCATACTTTCTTGGTATTAAGTTTTCTTCATTGAGAAAAACAATCTCATGCATGTAGAGGGCTCCATCTGCTTCTATGGTCTCTACTTTATTTGCTTCTTGATTGTTTTGCTTTCTCTCAGGACAAACGGAGGCGTAATGTCCAGGCTTATCACATCTATAACATACCACTTTGCTTTTATCCTTTTTCTCTTTGGTATTGTTTTGATCAGTTTGATTACTTGGATAAGACTGGTCTTGATGTCCTCTTCCTCTGCCACCACGTCCTCTGTTTCCTCTTCCTCCACGTCCTCTGTTCCCTCTTCCTCGTGAATTCCCATAACTAGCGTATAAGAGTTTTTCTTGTGAATCACCAGAACTCTCATCTATTCTTTCCTCATATGCTTTGATTCTTCCCACTATATCATCAAAGCCTGTTGTCTTTAAGTCCAAGACTTGTTCTAAGGAAGCAACAATCTGTATAAACTTGCTTCGTGGTAAACTATTCATGAACTTCTTCACCAATCTCTGTTCTTCTATTGGTTGTCCAAGAGTTGAAGCTTTTGATGCAAGCTTCGATAGTTTGTTTGCAAAGTCATCAACAGATTCTGACTCAATCATTCTTATTTTTTCGAAATCAGACATGATAGTACTTAATCTTGCTTCCTTGACACGTTCTGCTCCTAGGTTACGGGATTTGATCAAGTCCCAAATTCCTTTTGGTGTTGGTTGTTCTCCAACTTGGAGAGTTAGGGCTTCAGAGATAGACTGGAAGATTAGGGCTGTCGCGACGTCGTTCTTGTCAGCATCAGTTGATCCAGGTTCAATCGTATCCCAAACTTTATGAACACGTAACATAATCCTCATCCTCAAAGCCCAAACTGTGTAGTTTGTGGAGGACAACATCAGGCACTTTAGGGATGTAGGTATGTGATCTTTATGTGTGGTGTTAGCCACGGCGAGAGCATCATCATCGTCAGCCATGGCTCGACTGTATCGAATGATCTTCACGCTTCTATAAGGATCGAGTAATCCTCAAGCTCTGATACCAAATAAAGAGAAACTAAAAGCTTAAAACACAAGTAATTCAACAAAGTATAACTCTCTTTATTGATTGTTTAGAAACTCTCTTAAAACTAAACAAGCTTTCTCTAATCTCTCTTAAGGTTACAACTCAACCCTAGAGGTCTATTTATAGGGAACACAACTTTGTTAATTCTAAACACATTAGGAAAAGATAACTCCTAAACCTAATGGAACATTCTAGGCCTATCTTAATCTTTAACCTCCTCATTAAAGATATCTTGGGCCTTAAGCCTTTGAAGATTATCCAACAGATGTTGACGAGGAGATGGAAATTGTTCGCAACCGTGGTAGCTCTCGACCAGTTTGTGATCATTGCGCTCGTCGTTGCGTAGATTCATTGCTATATAAGTGCTCAGACAGAACTTTTTGTACTTTAGATTGTATGCATGCTTCGTGGATTGAGGAGGCAGATGATTGATATGAAGATTAGATGAAAAGGAAGGAGAAGATCACAAAATAAAATGTGAAGCGAAAAGCAGCAAAATGACAAATAAGGATCATAATCTTAAACTTTATTTTTGTGTGTTTTAAGCTTTCTTGTTTTGTAAACACGTTGTACCAAAAATAAATGTTGTTTGTGCTTTTCTCTTTTGGATCTTTAATAAAATTACGCGTGTTTTGATGCTAATAAATTTTATATTTTTCTTACGTTTAATGAGGAACAAAATGACAATGACAATTGTATGTAACCTCTCATGACATTCATAAATAAAGGAACAAAGCCTTCTCATGAATGTTCATAGGTCACTTAATGGCGTCTTCTAAACATCTTAATCCAATACCTGCGATGATGGTTTTAAGGTATCAAATATTGGGATGAAACATTACACGATTACTCTGCAGGAACACCACACAAGAAAAGTAGTACCAATCAATTATGTCAAACAAATCTGCACCGAAAAAAAACATATTTATATTATACAAGAAACAAGATTGGTTGTGTAAAGAGAACAATAATTAAAAAAAGGCAGAGTAACATGTGATCACGATGAAACCAAATGAATCTTTTTTCTAGGCAACAACCTTAAACTTTAACAGTAAAGTATTATCGTGGGCAAGTTGTCTCTGATCCTTTTCACATTGTCTTCGGACCACACTAAACCCTGAACCATGTGTGAAACCCAAATCCATTGCTATCGCAAACAAGTAAGAGTGATACCGGATCATCTTGCATCAACACTGGATCGTCTTGCCTCAAATACTCTCCTAAAAATGGAACAAATTCTCAGGGGCTCCTCAAACTCCAAATTTTGTCTCAAATACTCCTCAATGGTAGAAAGACAAAATTACCATATAAAATCAATATATAGAAATTTATTAATTTATCGAGTATTAATTTATAGAAGTTTTACTATATTGGTTTATGTACTTATTAATCTTATTTATATGGAAATCAATATAAAATCAAGTAAATCCGTTTGGATTTGAAATATATTAAGTACATAAACCAATATAGTAAAACTTCTATAAATTAATACTCGATAAATTAATAAATACAATAAAAATAAATTTTACAAGTCCAAAGTCGGACTAATGTAAAAATAACCAAATTCGATAAGATAATAATTTTTTTAAAATCTCTATATAAAATTATATGTTATGTTTATCTATATATATGTAAATTTATATGATTATCAATTTATGATATACAATGTTTTTATTAGAACAAACAATTGTTATGTTGCATTTTTAAACTATTGTATTATAGTACCTGTCTACACCTTTTTCATAAAACTAGCTACAATCCTTCGTAAATTGTATTTTTATAATAATGCATCATCTTTATTTTGATAGTCTTATTAAGTTATTAAAATAGGACAACTAAAATCATTAATCATAAATTTGAATTTATGTATATCATGTGTATAAGTGAAGTCATAAATAGTCCGTTATTTATTGTTAAAAGATTTTTTTCCTAAATGATAAATGTTTATTTCCAAAACTATAAAATTTGCAATATCTAAAACATTAGATTAGTTTCCCAAGTTTTATTTAGATCTAAGGAATTTATTAACATCTAAGGATATTCTGACCAACTGTCCCTAGTTTTATTTAGATCAAATTGTTTGATCTCATATTTTTCAAAATGTTTAGCAATTAAAACAAATCTCTATAAATTAATAAAGTTTTAGTTTTAGTTTTAGATTCTCTTCTTTTTGATTTCTTGAATTTGAAACTAGGATGGACATGATCAGTGAGTTGACGGATGATTTGATCTTGAAGATAATGTCATCACTTCCTTTTAAACAAGTGATAGCCACAAGTGTCTTGTCGAAACGGTGGCGATCTCTATGGAAGTTGGTGCCGAAACTCAACGCTGGTGAAAATGAATGTATCATTGGATCTGACTTTTACAGCTCTCTGGCGGTTAGTAATCCTTAGGTTCTAGAGAGGGTGGATTTAAAGCTTATCACAGATTATCATTTTGACAGGATTGAACTTTGGGTTAAACCCGCAGTTTATTGCGGTTTGAGAGAGCTAAGAATCGAGATGCTTTACACTTCCATGAAATTGCCGGTTTGTGTATATGCGTGTGGAACACTCAAAACCTTGATACTATGCAGACTACATCTCGTGGATGTTCCGCCATCGGTTTGTTTGTCGTCCCTCAAAACTCTTTGCCTTTTATCCATGAAGTTCTCATGCGACGAATCTGTTCAAAGGCTTTTAAGCATTTGCCCTGTTCTTGAAGATTTGGTTGTACGAAGATCCACTTATACCAGTGTGGAGATTTTCACTATAAATGTGTCTACTTTGAGTAGTTTATCTATCGATTATTCAAGGGCGGTATCTCAACCCGCTCGTGTTCATGGATTTGTTATTAATGTTCCTTCTTTGAGGTACTTGAACATTAGAGACCATTTCAGTAACCTTTTAATGTTTACAAATATGCGGGAGCTTGTTAAGGCGAATGTCGAGGTTGTTTGTAATCAATCTGAGAGTTTAATAGGATCCCTTACCGCAGTCCGACATCTCTCTTTGTGCTCAAAAATTTCAAATGTAAGCTTTTGTCAATCTGAACAAATTTATGCCAACCTTAAGCTCTTTATTCCCTAGCTATTATATGCTGCCAATTAATAGTTGTTTGTTTGCTTCAATTACAGATTCCATACCATCGAGACACTTTCGGCTTCTTTCTTGAACATCTAGAGCTGTGTACTTGTTGTACGGAGTGGTGGAATTTACTTACCCGTATACTCAAAGACGCTCCAAGACTTCGAGTTCTCAAGCTTAAGTCGGTATGTAGCTATTCAGTTTCATTAGAATTTGTGTGTATTTTCATTTAATCCAATAGTCTCACGCTAACACGTACGTTGTGCATCTCAGATACATTGTGCTCATTACAATGACCCAATGGATCGCTGGAACCAACCGAGTTCTGTTCCTGAATGTTTATTAACACATCTTGAGATTTTGGAGTGGAGACAGTACAAAGGCACAAAGCCAGAGAAACAGGTGGCAAAGTACATCTTAGCAAAAGCGGTTCATCTAAAGATGGCGACATTCTCCTCAAAATCTACAGAGAAACATCATATGTTCAACAAGTTAAAGTCTGTCTCCATATGTTCAAAGGCATGTCAACGTGTGTTCAACTGAAATTATCTATGACCATGTCTTCAATTCACTTAGTTTGAACTCTTTGGAAACTGGAACTTGGTATTCATTTACTACAACGCAAGAACAGTTTACATAACACAATCCTAGAGACACCAAAAACAGTGCTATCAATGCTCATATTTATTGTCGTGATGTTTTCTTTAAATCTTTCTATATATATAATGATCATATTTTGTATTAATATATAAATCTACTAAACAAAATTCAGCTATGCAATTTATTTTTGTTAGATTTGGGGTTGTTAGGATACAGTTTAGTATACCAACCATAAATGCCACCCTTTTGCTTAAATAATATTGTTTGAAAATCAGCGAAAAATATACATACACAACGAAGAAGACATTGATATTTAGGTCGAGAGTCGAGACTGGAGAGTTACAACCGTTGCAAACAGGTTCGAACTCTTGGCCATTTATGATGATGGTATGCTGAAGCTTCATGCATGCATGTACATATGTGTTCCCAATAAATATATGTAACATGGAGAGTGACGCATAATCACATGTGTAAACAATATGCATGTTGTTGCATCTAATCTTTTGATTAGACACCTTGGTGATCATTGATCAATTGTCTAGATAAACATATGTGGTTTGCTTTGTCTAAGAATTTTGTGGCTCGGAAAGAGATCTAAATCACTAACTGGTCAAATCTTTTGTCAAAAGACATCAACGTTTTCTCCCGCTCGGCTTACCCGGATTGAATTTCACAAACGACTTGACTACTACATGTCTTGTCAATGTCCATTACAAATAGAAAATTACTTGGGTTCACCCCTAGGGATGAATCTCTTATGTTCACCCCCTTTATTTCATCCAATCAAAATCTGCCACTTATTAATAATAAAAATATTTATTTAATTAGAAAATTTAATTTGGCACTAAAACGAAATTATGTATCGGTTTATGTTTATTAGAAAGGGCTAGGGTTTAGATTTTATGATTAAACTCGTTTAACTATCGGTTTGAGTTTAAAAACGGATTTAGATTTTACAATTAAACGAGGTTAAGTGTCGGTTTGGGTTTAGAAAGTACGATTAGGGTTTAGATTTTTTACGATTAAACGAGTTTAAATGACGGTTTGGGTTTACAAAGGAGAATTAGGGTTTAGATTTTATGATTAAACGAATACTTGGGTTCACCCCTACGGGTGAATCTCTTATGTTCACCCCCTTTATGGTCATCCAATTCAAAATCTGCCACTAAGTAATAATATAAATATTTATTTAATTAGAAAATTTAATTTGGCACTTAAGACGAATATTATGTATCGGTTTATGTTTATTAGAAATGGTTAGGCTGTAGATTTTATGATTAAACTGGTTTAACTATCGGTTTGAGTTTAAAAACGGATTTAGATTTTACAATTAAACGAGGTTAAGTGTCGGTTTGGGTTTAGAAAGTACGATTAGGGTTTAGATTTTTTACGATTAAACGAGTTTAAATGACGGTTTGGGTTTACAAAGGAGAATTAGGGTTTAGATTTTATGATTAAACGAATACTTGGGTTCACCCCTAGTGGTGAATCTCTTATGTTCACCCCCTTTATTTCATCCAATCAAAATCTGCCACTTATTAATAATAAAACTATTTATTTAATTAGAAAATTTAATTTGGCACTAAAACGAAATTATGTATCGGTTTATGTTTATTAGAAAGGGTTAGGGTTTAGATTTTATGATTAAACTCGTTTAACTATCGGTTTGAGTGTAAAAACGGATTTAGATTTTACAATTAAACGAGGTTAAGTGTCGGTTTGGGTTTAGAAAGTACGATTAGGGTTTAGATTTTTTACGATGAAACGAGTTTAAATGACGGTTTGGGTTTACAAAGGAGAATTAGGGTTTAGATTTTATGATTAAACGAGTTTAACTATCGGTTTGAGTTTATAAATGAGTTTAGATTTTACAATTAAACGAGGTTAAGTGTCGGTTTGGGTTTAGAAAGTACGATTAGGGTTTAGATTTTTTACGATTAAACGAGTTTAAATAACGGTTTGGGTTTTCAAAAGAGAATTAGGGTTTAAATTTTGTAATTAAACGAGATTATATATCGGTTTGGGTTTATAAAAGAGTGGTTATGACTTAATCTTATTGTTTTATTTAGGACATAATTGTTTTAATTTTTTTAATTAGATGACATGGCAAATTCTAATTGGATAATTAAGAGGGGGTGAATGAAAGCGGTTCACCCCCAGGAATTTTTCTTAAAAATATGAATTTTCCTACAACTTATTGCGATAAAAATCCAAAAACTATTTTTCGACTTCCATAAACATACACAATTTTTTCGCACCTAGAAAAATCCACAAATTTTTTTTTTACTCATTTTCAAAATTGAAAATCTGAACCATATATATATAATTATATATATATATATATATATATCCATTTTAGGATACTTCGTAATCGTTTTTTAAAGATGATATTTTTGGTGTTCGACCATATTTGTTATTTCGTTTGGTTTCTAACCTAAGTTAAGAAAATTAACTATTTGCTCAAAAAAATTTCGTATTAAATTAGAAAAAATCACATGATCTAAACAATCCTCAAATAGGTAACTCTACTTTTTACAACTTAAAAGAAAAAGAAAAAAAGACGAGGATTTTTAATTCGATTAACGTTTTTTTATTTTTTATTTTTTTTAACATCTAAACCAATTTTATTAATATGAATCAGAGTATACATGATTATCAACGAGATTACATATACAACCAATAGTTTGTGTAACAAAAAAAACGATGAAGCAAATTACGCGCCGCTTTCTTAGTCAAGTTCTTTATCATCTTCGTCATTTTCGTCAATCCGGTTTGACTTTCTTGCTTGGGAATCATCTTCTTTTTACTGATGAAATACCGGTAATGCATTCGAAAGTCATAGGCAGCGATCCATCTGTTACATCGCAAAACCTTCGTATTTATCGAAACTCTCATATAAAATGAGATGTCATTGGTCTTGGTTGTGCTTAAAACCCATTGTTGTTTATATGGTATAAACCATCTTCTGATTATCCTCCATAGATCGTTGCTTATTGTCACTATCCAATCATCCCCGAATTGCCTCTTTTTCCATGGTGGTTTCCATGGACTTTTTCTCCAAAGCAGATCTGGTTGTACTAATTGTGAAGACACCAAATCCCGACATCTCCATTTATATTTGTAAATCTGCGAGAACAAGACTGCATCACATTGAATCATGGGCTTCGATGTGGAGATAACTGCCGAAGAGTGGGAGAGATGTTCCATGAAAACCACATCACCGACAAAGAGAATAGCAACCATCACCATAAAGATGAAGAGAAATCCATTGAAGGAAATAGATCTGAGAACAATCTGATATAATAGAAAGGTTCCCATCACAATTATTGAAAACAGTAAAAAAAACAAAGTGATTAACAAACTAGAACCACCGGCAAATGCCGGCGGCCCGGAAAACCAGAGAGAAAAACGGTTTTGATCAGTATCCTCTTTTGTGTCGCAAGAGAGAGAGAGTCGTTTCTTTTCTTTCTTACGTAGCATTGGTTAACGTTTTTTTATATATGCAGTAAATTGAGTATACGGTAGTTATTAAACTGAGTAAAAATCTATTTCGTGTATTTTTTTGGTACGTAAAAAATTGATGTATTTTTATAAAAGCTAAAAAATGTTTAGTGTATTTTTATGGAAATTTTCCTTTTCCCTAAATTTTAATTGGAAACCCAAAACAAAAACAAAAAATTCCAAAGATATTATTGTCTACAATAATATTTTCCACATGGATAATAGTATTTGGTTTGTTCATCTTTGTTGAATTCTAATGTTTAAACAGAAACCTATGTTTCTTCGCTCAGTGTCGTCCTCATTTATCTTCATTCATGGAGTTCCTCGTAAGCTCAAGACCAGAACTGTCCTTCGTGTAATATTTGCGTTCTTGTTCTCTAAACCTTCCTATTAAAAACTCCATTGCTTTAACATGGTTCTAATTTCGTAATTCTGCTTCTCTTTTGTAGACTCTTTGTCAGATCAGGAGAGCTAGTTTTACTGCTATATCTGTTTCTATCTCTGAGGATGAGTCATTTCAAGAAAACGGAATCGATTCCGTTGAGAATTGTGGAATTCGACCTAATCATCAAACTTTGAAATGGCTTCTTGAAGGATGTTTGAAGACAAATGGGTCTTTAGATGAAGGAAGAAAGTTGCATTCTCAGATTTTGAAGTTGGGTTTTGATAATAATGCTTGCCTCTCTGAAAAGCTTCTTGATTTTTATCTATTTAAAGGAGATTTAGATGGTGCTTTGAAGGTGTTTGATGAAATGCCTGAAAGAACGATTTTTACTTGGAATAAGATGATTAAGGAGTTAGCTTCTAGAAGTTTGAGTGGGAAAGTGTTTTGTCTTTTTGGGAGAATGGTTAATGAGAATGTTACTCCGAATGAAGGAACCTTTAGTGGTGTTTTGGAAGCATGTCGTGGCGGTAGTGTTGCTTTTGATGTAGTTGAGCAGATTCATGCGAGGATTATATATCAGGGTTTGGGGAAGAGTACGATTGTGTGTAATCCTTTGATTGATTTGTATTCGAGAAACGGGTTTGTGGATCGAGCTAGAAGGGTTTTTGATGGATTATATCTCAAGGATCATAGTTCTTGGGTTGCTATGATATCAGGGCTGTCAAAAAATGAATGTGAAGTTGAAGCTATTAGATTGTTCTGTGATATGTATGTTTTAGGTATCATGCCAACACCTTATGCGTTTTCAAGTGTTTTAAGTGCGTGTAAGAAGATAGAATCTCTTGAGATTGGCGAACAGCTTCATGGGCTAGTACTGAAGTTAGGTTTTTCCTCTGACACTTACGTTTGTAATGCGCTTGTATCGTTGTACTTTCATTTGGGGAGTTTGATATCAGCAGAACACATCTTCAGCAACATGTCACAGAGAGATGCGGTTACTTATAACACTCTTATCAACGGGCTTTCTCAGTGTGGTTACGGTGAGAAAGCTATGGAATTGTTCAAAAGAATGCAGCTTGATGGACTTGAACCAGACAGCAATACTCTTGCAAGCCTTGTGGTTGCATGTTCATCTGATGGAACTCTTTTTAGTGGACAACAACTACATGCGTACACAACTAAACTTGGTTTTGCTTCAAACGACAAGATTGAAGGTGCACTTCTTAATCTGTATGCAAAATGCTCTGATATTGAAACCGCCCTCAATTATTTTCTTGAGACTGAGGTTGAAAATGTAGTTCTTTGGAATGTTATGCTAGTTGCTTATGGGCTATTAGACGATTTAAGAAATTCGTTTAGGATTTTCAGACAGATGCAGATAGAGGAAATTGTTCCAAATCAATATACCTACCCGAGTATTTTGAAAACTTGCATACGACTTGGGGATCTTGAGCTCGGAGAGCAAATCCATAGTCAAATAATAAAAACTAGCTTTCAGCTTAATGCCTATGTTTGTAGTGTGCTTATCGATATGTATGCAAAATTAGGAAAGTTAGATACTGCTTGGGATATCCTGATAAGGTTTGCTGGGAAAGATGTTGTGTCTTGGACAACAATGATTGCAGGTTACACGCAATACAATTTTGACGACAAAGCTTTAACAACTTTCAGGCAGATGTTGGATCGAGGGATCCGGTCTGATGAAGTTGGATTAACAAATGCAGTTAGTGCATGTGCTGGTCTTCAAGCCTTAAAGGAAGGACAGCAAATTCATGCTCAAGCTTGTGTATCTGGTTTCTCATCTGACCTGCCATTTCAAAATGCTCTGGTTACACTTTATTCTAAATGCGGAAATATAGAGGAAGCATATTTAGCGTTTGAACAAACTGAAGCTGGAGATAATATAGCATGGAATGCTCTGGTATCGGGATTTCAGCAGAGCGGAAACAATGAGGAAGCACTTCGTGTCTTTGCTCGAATGAACAGAGAAGGAATTGACAGTAATAATTTCACGTTTGGGTCCGCTGTGAAAGCTGCTTCTGAGACAGCAAACATGAAACAAGGGAAGCAGGTTCATGCTGTGATCACCAAAACCGGATATGATTCAGAAACCGAAGTTTGTAATGCTATAATCTCTATGTATGCCAAGTGTGGGAGCATTTCTGATGCAAAGAAGCAGTTCCTCGAACTCTCCATGAAAAATGAAGTTTCTTGGAATGCGATGATCAATGCTTATTCTAAACATGGGTTTGGTTCTGAAGCACTAGATTCTTTTGACCAGATGATACATTCTAATGTAAGGCCTAATCATGTGACGCTTGTGGGAGTTCTATCAGCATGTAGCCACATAGGACTAGTGGACAAGGGAATTGAATACTTTGAATCCATGAATACAGAATACGGATTAGCTCCTAAGCCAGAACACTATGTGTGTGTAGTGGATATGCTAACCCGAGCTGGTCTTTTGAGCCGTGCGAAAGATTTTATTCTGGAGATGCCTATAGAGCCAGATGCCTTGGTCTGGAGAACACTTTTGAGTGCTTGTGTGGTACACAAGAACATGGAAATAGGAGAATTTGCTGCGCATCATCTCCTAGAGTTAGAACCGGAAGACTCAGCAACATATGTACTTCTGTCAAATCTGTATGCCGTGTGCAGGAAATGGGATGCTAGGGATCTTACAAGACAAAAGATGAAAGAAAAGGGTGTGAAGAAAGAACCGGGACAAAGTTGGATTGAAGTTAAAAACTCGATTCACTCTTTCTATGTTGGTGACCAGAATCACCCATTGGCAGATGAAATACACGAATATTTCAAAGATCTAACCAAACGAGCATCTGAGATCGGGTATGTGCAAGACTGTTTCAGCCTCCTGAGTGAACTGCAGCAAGAGCAAAAAGATCCGACGATATTCATTCACAGCGAGAAACTAGCGATTTCTTTTGGACTCCTTAGCTTGCCTGCAACAATGCCTATAAATGTAATGAAGAACCTACGTGTTTGCAACGATTGCCATGATTGGATAAAGTTTGTATCCAAGGTATCAAATAGAGAAATCATAGTGAGGGATGCTTATAGGTTTCATCATTTTGAAGGAGGTGCTTGTTCATGTAAAGATTACTGGTAAGAGACAAAGCTTGGTAGCTCACTCGCCTCTTGTGGGAAGGTTAAGTCTATGTTCCTAAGTTCGAGCTCTGGTTCTAGCTTGAAGAAGGATATCATGGACCAAAGCTTACGGGTAAGCTGAATTTTCAGCGATGATTATTTACTTTAACACGAGAAGAATTGTACATGTAAGCCAAAATTGAACATGAAAGAATTGTATAATTTAAACATGGACGTATCAATTAATGGCTTTGACTGGAACCAAAGGAACAATGTAAATGGAGAACAAAATGAATAAAGAAGTGGTGAAAATGAATATCTTTTAACAAAAAAAAAAAGAAAAGAAGTGAAAATGAATGAAGTGAATTAAGAGGAACTAAATTGGAATTTAAAACTAAAAAATGCATAGAAAAAATAGAATAAATAATTAGAGTGAAAATAACCATAAAATGGATATATACTCTAGAATTATATAAGAAAAATAATGTTGATAAAATAGTCATCAACATTAATTTGAATTAGCATTTTTGTTCTTGATATAAAAATTAATTTTCTTAAATTTCTAAATAATCATGTATATGTTTTGCAATAATCAATGTGATGAATCAATAATTATATATAAAAAAATTTAAAATTATTTGTTTGAAGGAAAAAGAAAACCAAGACTCTGATTAGTAACACACATGATTGGATAATGAGATAAGTTGCAGAATGAAAACTTGCATAGTGAAAATTTGCGGAATGAAATTTTGTGTTGATTGGATACATTTGCATAATGTAATAATAAGTTTTTATGTCATAAACAACTATATAACCATTTTTTGCATAATGATATATTACTTGTACTTTTTTAGGCGAAAACGCAAAAATTCAGTGTTTTCACCTTAAAAAAAATATTATACAGAGTTTTTTGATTATTCATTTTCTTATATAATCTCATTAGAAAATGTCATTCCGCAATTATGCTTGTTATCTATTGGAGCACAAGAAAAAGATATAATAAAAAAACAAGGAAGGGACAATGATACCTCTAATGAAATATAGCAGAAATCATACAATAACACGTAATAAAATGGAAATATTATTAGTTAAATGGGTAACGATTTATCTCTGCGACATTTTTCATCAGAGTTAAGCCTTGGATGGCCGTCAAAAAAAAAAAAGTTAAGCCTTGGATGGATATGGTTTTTTAAATGGATTTTTGTTTTAGTTTTTCCAAAAACCAATTATATGGCCATTCAAGATTTTTTAAAAAGTGGATTCCCTAAATTATAGAAAATATAGATTCTAATAGTTGTTGACAAAAAAAAAAAATAGATTCTAATAGTTTTTAAAAATCTAAAATCTTATTTCAATGAATTTTTGTAATCTATTCTATGAAACTTTTTATTTTGTTTTTAATTGTTTATTTTGTTTATTTTTGTAAAATCCAAAATCCAAAATCTATAATCTAAAAACTACTAAAAATGTCTTAAACATTGATGACCATGGACTCCAATAAAATTGATTCTCAACCAAATCAAAACAAAAAAAAAAATGATTATTTTCAACAATAATAGTAGTAAATAATAAAATCTAATGAGTATTTTTTTTTCGGATTATCCAAAATAGAAATTAATGGAGAGAATCTATTCTAAGGATTTAATTTTTTTCTTTTAAAGAGAAATGTATTTACTATTAAAATAATTTTCCATTTAAATGACTTTGATGAGGGAAGAAGAACCGATCCAAATAGTTCAAAATAAATATATTTTGAAGACAAAATGAACTGATTTCTTATGAGGTTGAGAAATGCTGGTTTCAGTGAGAGAGCCCACATCAGATTATTTGTGGCTTATGAAAACTCCCTATCTGAAAGTGTGTCCAAGGAACTGAAGAAGCATGGTATAGAAATCATACATGCTGTTCCAGCCAAGAGTAAGTAGCTTTTACATATGAGTAATAAAGTAATTGTTAGGAGTTAACAATTCATATTAGGAGTTAACAATTCATATGACTAATTAATGAAATGTTTTATTTTCTTCTGTTTAAGGACCTAAGGATCAGAGCACCGCCAACAACCAACTAGCAGATGAAGCAATGACTTCTAGTTAGAGGAGTGTTGCTAATAACAGGGGATAACGGCTTCGAGATGAGTATCAAGAAATTATTTTTAAGGATTTAATTTTTTTTCTTTTAAGTTTGGAATTATTTTTTTTTCTTTTGGTTTAACACCATCTTATAATAGAGAAATTGAAATTTCATGTTGCCATTTTTAAAAAATGTCTGGTATTTGAAATAGGAAAAAATGTCAAAAAAAACTTAACTTACCGATTTCGTTGAAAAAAATTCTCAAATTTACATTTGATAAAAAAAAATCACCAATTTTTGTTGATTTTTCAATTTAATCACAAGTTTTTGTTGACTTTGCCAAATTAGTCACGTCGTTAAGTTGCTTAACTGTAAAGTTAATGGTTCTGCTTAATGGCGGAACTAATTTGGCTCAATCAACAAAAGTTGGTGATAAAATTTGAAAAGTCAACAAAAGTTCATAATTTTTTCAAAAGTTTGTGGATTTTTAAGCATTTTTAAAAATTGAGACTTTTTTTTATTAAAACATTTTCACTATTTTTCTATTTAAATAAAATGTATTAATTAACAAAAAAATATTTTAAAGAATGAATTAAGAGTGTGCAAAAACTTTGCAAAAAATAAAATATTAGTTATTGGACCAACATACATATATGTCATCTAAATTTTAATATATCTAAATCTTAATATATAATTATAACTAATTCATGTTATTGTTGGATATTTTTCCCTAATTTTTATTAAAATAAATTTATTATGGAAAATTAGAATTTATTTTAAATGAATCAAAAGTGTAAAAAATGGTGATTAGCCTATTTCTTTAATTAAAACTATTGTTGAATATTACAATTATCTTTATTCGATTATGTATAATGGGAAAAATACATCTATGGATCGAGATAATAATTATATTTCGTTGAAATTTATTAGTTTTCAAGGCTTATAAACATTTTAGCTCCCAACAATAACATGAATTATGTTTATTGTCCAAACTTAATTTTCAAATATTATATATTAAGATTTAGATATATTGAAATTTAGAGCACATAGATATATTAAAAATAATGTTATTGTTTTACAAAAAAATATTTAAAAATTCACAAACTTTCCAACTGTTGAAAAAATTCAATATGGCACGAATATAGCAGTAGTAAGAATGTATTTTGCTCAAATGCATTCTCCAGGACACGTAAAATCTACAACTTCCTGAAACGAATACTGAATTTCTCTAAAATCATGCCAATGAATGACTCTCATGACCCTCACAATCTCATTTATGACAACTGTCCAACATATATCTTCAAACAAAAGATAAGTACAGTATCATTTACAATTAGTTCCGCCGTTAAGTGGTTTGACGGAACCGTCAACTTTTCGATTAGATTATTTAATGACGTGATTAATTTGGCAAAATCAACAAAAATTTGTGATTAAATTGAAAAGTCAATAAAAATTGGTGATTTATTTTAATGAAATCGATAAATTAGATTTTTTTTTTTTTGACATTTTTGCCATTTGAAATATTAATGAGAGTTAAAAAGGAAAAGATTAAAAAAAAAAATTCTTTTTTAAAATACTACAGTATAAATTTATATTTTATATTTATTTTTAATAAGGAAAAGACACTAATACAATCGGAGATCAACTCGACTCTTCGCTGTCTTACAGAAATCCATTACCTCTCTCCCCACATTTTCCTTCACTTTACCGGGAAAATAGGCGAGAAAATAAAAATCAGTGGTGAAATTAAAGAGAATGTACTCAGCGATTCATTCATCGCTTCCTCTAGATGGCAACTTGGGAGAGTACTCTGACGGAACTAATCTTCCCATCGACGCTTGTTTGGTCCTAACCACTGACCCTAAGCCTCGTCTTCGTTGGACCTCTGAGCTCCATGAAAGATTCGTTGACGCCGTCACTCAGCTCGGTGGACCAGACAGTGAGTGTTCGAAAATTCTGGATCTTGTGTTTGAAATGTGTCTTGTTCTTGAGAAAGACAACGTTTTTAGGTTTAATTTCTTACAGATTTGGTAATACAATGTTTTTTTTTTTTGTTGAATTTAATTTCTTACAGATTTGGGTTAATTTCTTGGGTTTTGTATGAAAGCTCTAATTGGTAACACACATAATTGCATAATGACATTAGTTGCATAATGCAATTTTGTGTTGATTGGATACATTTGCATAATGGTATAATAAGTTTTTATGTCATAAATAACTATATAACCAATTTTTCTCCTAAAAAATAAGATTATGCATATTTTCTTGATTGTTAATTTTTTTGCATAATAGCATTAGAAAAAGATTTGTGTCTTACCATTGTTTTGAATTGGTAATGTTTTTGTTCTGACTATTCTCGGTTTGTTTTGATTACACAGAAGCAACGCCAAAAACTATAATGAGAACAATGGGAGTGAAGGGTCTCACTCTTTACCATCTCAAATCTCATCTTCAGGTTTGATACTACCAACAAAACAGTATCATTCATTTATGCTTCATTGAGCTACTTTTATTTGTTTATTTGGATCATTGCTTTGACTGTGTTGTTTATCTTTGTGTTGGATCGGTAGAAATTTCGTCTAGGGAGGCAATCTTGCAAAGAATCAATTGACAACTCTAAGGATGGTATTTCTCTAATACTCCTTTTTTTTTTTGGTCATGGTTCTCTAATCCTCCATTCATGGATTCAGTTGGGAAATTATGGATTTTTGTTGTGAATTGATATCTTTATGAACTTGTTTCTTCAGTTTCTTGTGTTGCGGAGAGTCAGGACACGGGTTCATCGTCAACATCTTCGTTAAGAATGGCTGCGCAGGAACAGAATGAGTATGGTTACAAGTGGTCTATTTGTTCCAACTTTCAATTGTATATGCTGTATGAACACTCAATGAGTCATTGTGTTTGTTTTCGTGAGCCAGGAGTTATCAGGTCACTGAAGCTTTGCGTGCTCAGATGGAAGTCCAAAGAAGACTACATGAGCAATTAGAGGTTAGTTTTCTTATTCGAATTCACCAAAGATCAGAGAGAGTTTGATTAATGAGAGATTTTCAACTCTCAATCAAATGTCCAACCAAACCGTAGAGAAAGCTCATCCTTATAAACCTATCAACCCTCACTAACTTCTCTTCAGCCGAACTCACAACAGCTCTAATCTGCTACATTCAGTCCTAGGCTGAATACAGTAGACATAGAGTTGCGCCATTGAACTTCTTCAAAGCTTATTAGCCCGAGATTACTTAGTAAATCTGTCGATGAAAGTTACAACCATAGAAAGTTAGAAACCGCATAGCCTAATGTTTGATTGACAGACTATTCAACACTGAGCCATGGTTCCACACCTCATGAGGTCCATTAGTATGCGCAGGTGCAAAGGCGACTCCAGCTAAGGATCGAGGCACAAGGGAAGTACCTACAATCAATTCTAGAGAAAGCTTGCAAGGCTATAGAGGAACAAGCTGTTGCGTTTGCTGGACTAGAGGCAGCTAGAGAAGAGCTTTCAGAGCTAGCCATAAAAGTCTCCATCTCCAATGGATGCCAAGGAACAACAAACACCTTCGACACAACCAAAATGACACTTCCATCCTTATCCGAGCTTGCAGTAGCGATAGAGCACAAGAACAACTGTTCAGCAGAGAGCTCTCTGACTTCCAGCACTGTAGGAAGTCCGGTTTCAGCTGGGTTGATGAAGAAGAGGCAACGAGGAGTGTTTGGAAACGGAGATAGTGTGGTTGTTGGTCATGAAGTTGGATGGGTTATGCCTAGTAGTAGCATTGGATGAGAGAAAGAGAGAGTGACCAGATTTTAGCTTATTTATTTGCTTTGTTGTTGTATTTAACTCAAAACTTTGTCATCAAACCTCTCTGTCTTAACCTCTATGTATATATTTGTTGAAGCATGTAGTGTCTCCTTTAATTTTGAGTAAGTTTATGAACCAATTTGTTTATTTTAGTAGGTGGCAATCTTTGTTAGTTATTGTCTGTTTGGATCTATTTTGTTAAATTTTTCTGATTGTTACTGGATCAGTTACCAAAATTTACCTTTTAATCCATTTAAATTAGATTAGATTAGGTACTTTTAGGTAAATGACAATTGTGAAATTAGATTGTATACAGTTTAATAAAAGCGGTAAGATCATCCAAATTACATTAATTTGTTTCTAATGTTGACTTCAAGTTTTTTTTTTTTTTTTCGTCTAGATTTATGATTAATTACAAATTATGAGAACTGTTACATAGACGATTCTACAACTGACAATTTCTGCCAACCCTTAGTAGATCCACGACAGACTACACTTCCTTCTTCATGATCTTAATGAATACCTTCAATGATCCACGACCTGGCGACACTTCTTTATCTGCGTAGAATCCTGGCGCACGGCTATAATTGTACATCGCTGGAGATCTCCTGCACACTTGCCTCCATTAATCTGCAAATTTGATAATAAATCGCAATATCTGGGACTCGAACCCCAGACATCTTAGTGTAGAAGCATTAATCAACCTTTAGTCAACCAATGGGCCAAGGGGGCTTCCACCAAGTTTTTTCTTTAATCGTCACAAAGATGTATCAATACAATAATAACAATAAGGATCTCTCCAGACCCGACACCTCAGCGTTTTTGGATGTTCTCAAGCTGACACCTTATTAAAATTGTCATCCAATGAGAACATTTCAATTAATACAAGTAAGCATTCTATTTCAGTAATAATACTTTGCTGATCCACGTCATACTGTCTCTCCCTCCACATATTATTTGCTTAGTTTTTCCTATTGGCCCAATTTGGTTTAGTTACAAAGCCCAATTCGTTTATTTCTTTTTGACGTGTTCAATTGTTTTTCCTCTAATTTAGGGTAGTTACCCGCGCCTTACGCGGCCAAGAATTTATTACAAAAAAATATTTAAATTTTGATGATAGAACATAGTTATGAGATTTTAAAATTCGACCATAATATTACAAAAGATCAAGCATACTGTCTCTAAAAATAAGTATTTAGACAGTCCATAAAACCCATAACAACACAAGACTCATCGATCATTTTTGTAGAAAATTCCATGATCACTCAATCATCTGAACCGGAACATCTTGAATTCGTAGCGGCCCAAGCATAAGCTGTGGAGAGTGTACTACATACATAAATTTAATAGGTCATTACACGTATGAATTACGTATATCCAACAAATATATGATTATAAATACTAAATATTACCGTTCTTTGATCTCCTCAAGTTCGTCAAACTCCGGGTCAAGATAAAATCTAGAGCATCCAACTCTATTCATGAGACATGGTTTTTCTGTAAAATATTCAATCCGATGAGACTAAAGAAGATAATAACCGGCTTAAATTTTGGTTTTTGGAAAATACGATGAATAAATATAAGTCAATACCTTTATACTCTTCAACATGCCAAAACCTCAAAACACAAAATACAGGATCACGAAGGTACGAATGACCATATTCTCGGTTTACCTATACTCTCATAAAATAGTCGGCCAAATCTCCTACAGCGCAACATCTCAATTTCAATCCCCTATTAATTTTCAAACCAAAACTAAACGTCATAAATAAATAAATTCTGGCATACAAATTGAAAAAGAAACTCACCTATGATTCTGTAAGATGAAGTAGACACAGTTACATCCACCATCCCTTTCGTATTATCCAGAAACATAAGGGATCCGTATAAGTCAGTCGATATAAACGATAAATCCCACCGTATCTAGGTTTAAAGTATTCGATTTATTAGCTATCTCATTGTTTCATTAGAACCAAACAAATAAAAAATAGAAATCATAAAACGTACCAATCGGAATTTCGGTCATGATTCTCCATCCCCTTATGCGGCTAAATTTTTCAGGCTCAATACACTTACATGGTGACCGCTCATACGTGCTGGTCATTTTAGTTGGTCGATGGAACCATATACGGAACATATTGGACATGTTACTCATCAAATCCGGCAAGTACAGAACCAAAAAATCAGATAGAAAGTACCACGTGTCTTTCCTCAAGCCAGTTATATTAACATGGTCAAACGGACCACCGGTAATAGTAGCATCATCAATCTTAGTCTCCTAAATAATAAGAATAAGATAAACATAAAGTATGTAAGGCAAATCACTATAAAAATAAAATGTTGAACGTGAAAGTAGTGTTTAACCTCTAAATCCGCAAGAATCATCTTCAAATTCTGGTTAGGTCTGCCAAAATTTTCGAACCAAAAAACTAAAACCTGTACACAAAAGTTTCGATTTCTATCATAAGGGGTAATATCGTCGACCCTCGTCAAAGGCAACATTTTTTTAATTTGAATTCGTTGATGTATTTAAATATTTGTTGGGTTGAGTGTTAGCTCGTTTATGTGTTTTATGAGGTCACTGACCAAAACAAAGGGTGTATATATATTGTGAAACACCATCCAATTGCCATATGCTATACACGTTATCCGAACACGACAATAATATAGAAAATATACAGTTCAAATGGCGGGTAGAGACAAAAGACATCTCGAAACCAAAAAAAAAAGTAAAAATCAAATTCTTTAACATGCACTCGTCCAAAAACTGTGCCATTGTGAATGACAACACATTGAAGACTTCGTTTGGTGTGAATGATAACACTCTCGATATTTCTAATTTTAAAAAAAAACAGAATCTTCTTGAATCAATCATAATTTAGAGTGGTAAGTTAGAGATATTTAAGAAATATATATTATAGGGGGAAAATTGGAAATAAAGTATAAATATTTAAGTATTTGTCCATATATGAATTCTATGAACAAATATCAACTATTCCTAAACTACCCCTAGCATAAAATTGAACCAATTGTTTCAAAAATAATTAAGAAAAATATGTATTAAAATGATAAAGAAGACATGAAGATATATAAAATGTCAAAAATATAATGTTTTGTTTTCGTTTTAGATAGATAAAATTTGATCTATAAAGTTTAGAATTTGTCTTCTGAAATTAGAATGTATATTCTATACACTCTACATGTTCTACAAAATTTAGATTATGTATTCTACACACTCTACATGTTCTACAAAATTTAGAAGTCATTTCTTTTCTACGGTATTTAGAATACTAGTTTCTACGACTTTTAGAATACATATTCTATACTTTGTTCTTTGTTCTACAAAAATTAGAATATGTTTTCTAACATTTACTCATGTTCTAAGAATGTTAGAAAACATATTCTTAAGATTTTTTTTTATTCTATAAAAATTAGAAAGTACATTCTATCTAATTTAGTTTTAAAAAAAAAATCTTAAAATATGGAAATTGAATATAGTGAATTTGATTACATCTGCAAATTACAGAAGTTGAATTCTGAATACTTTAAAATTCTATATACCTAAGTGAATAAATTATAACACAAATTAGATTTTTTCTTTATACTTCACACTTTTTCCTATAGATTACGCTTAATTTTTTTGTCTCAAAACCCGGAAAATTAGTTGAATTTGGAATACTTTAAAATTCTTTATACCTAAGTGAATAAATTATAACACAAATTAGAATTTTTCTTTATACTTAACACTTTTTCCTATAGATTACGCTTAATTTCTTGTTTCAAAACCCGGAAAACTATAGTTGCGCTCCATAAAGAAATTGAAATCAAGGGAGTGAGAGAGAGAGAGAGATTGAAGAAGAAGAAGAAATTTTTTTTTATTTAATATGGCGTTATTAGAGAGGAGAAAACAATTACGAAAGCTTAACTTTGATGAGCAAGAGAATCAAAGAAGAAGAAGATATGAAATTATCTACGGCAAAACAAATAATGGAATGTAATTAAATGTTATTTTGTCCTATATGTTTTCCAAATTGTTTTTAGAAAGAAATCAATTTAATTTTGAATTTTTTAATAGTTTAGTAAGATTTTAAAAGACTGGGGGCATATTGGGATTTTAATTATATGAAATCATATATGACCAATATTAAAGTATATATGACCAATCATGAATATATAATGTATAGATGGACAATAGTTTAATTATTTGTCCTTTATTTCCAATTTTTCCTCTTATATGGGTATAACAACACCTATATTTAGATGTATTAACACGTATCAAAGGCATGTTTCATATAACATTTAGGTTCAAAACGGATAAATAACAAAACTTAAAACTATCATTAAAAAAAACAAAAGTAACTAATTCTTAATAACTAAATAAACTCGCACTTATTATTGCCCGCCAAAGAATATCCGCATGACCGTAACCTCGGGACAAATATGATTGAATACGAATTGCGTACACCTTTCAGTTGCTGTAACATAGATTGTTCCTGTAAATACGAAATTTTAGAATTGTTACAATGTCGGATAAATTATTAAAATCCAATAATATAAAAAAATCTTATATGTACCTTCAAAGAGCTCCAATTTAGCAAATCTGATTATGATGATTTTGACATCATCAACACAACTTGCCCTATCGATTATAAATCTATTAACATAGAAGTTCGGCAATCGACATGGTATACGTATCCCACTTCATCACGGAAAGACATCAAGTTAGTATCATCTATTTATTTTTTTTAAAAGAAAAAACGAATTATTATTTTTTTTTTAAACTGTAGATAAAATAAATAGTCACCTTCTGTCTTCCATTTGGAACAAAACGATGATTAACGCCTAGCGAATCAGACGCTCTAAAATCGATAGTACGCACAAGCCTCCCAATTAGATCTATGGATTTGGATTTGATATGGTTTAATAAAAAAATAAAAAAAATATCTATAACCAACGTATAACATATCACTTACCCACACAGTAATTAGGATCTAGGCGACCTTGCTTGACCTCACGAAACTTGACAAAAGTGAAACAATCACTTTGTAAGAAAGACCTTAGTAAAGTAAATGAAGTAAGCGCATTCGAACGTATGAAAAAATTGTGTCTAGCTGGTCCAAAACATCCTCCTACAGTTTTGACATTAAATTCTGATAAGAGTATGCAATTTCCTTCTATGAGGATGGATGAGAACCGTTGAGTCACGTCTACATCAATTAGGACGTGTATCAATTAGGACGTGTATCTTTTGATGCTGTTTAAGATTTCAATATTAGGTTGAATCCTTATAGCATAACGAAATGATGATAATTAATAATTGTTACCTTTGAATCCGCAAGGATAAATTCCACCAGCCTATCGCGTAACGCAGGGCATACGAACCTTCTAACAATTTTCACTTTAATTTTTTTAGTAATCATTTCCGGGTTTAGATCTTTAAGATCATCATAAACATCCAACTCTTCTTCAAATCTAGTGATGGTGCAAGGAGAGAGTTGGGACATCATAAGAAACAAAGATATAGAGCACCTAGTATAATCGGTTAATAGATACTAAGGTATGAGATATAATAGCACTTATATATGTACCATTAAGGTTATATTCAATCTTCTGAATTAAGGAATCTAACATTATATTAAAAAATCTCAACCAACAATATTTTTATATAGATTTTTTCCTTTTTTGTTGCTAGAAGGAATATACGTATACAAAACTTTACGGATATAATAATATCTTCTTAACATTATTTTTTATTAAGACGGTCGTTTTCCGTGATCCGAATGAAAAAGGAATATATACCCAAATAGAACATCAAACCGAACTATTAAAGATAAACAGCGAAGACCAAATGAAGATCTATGAGTAATTGGTTTGTTAATAAAACACGACATATAAAGGATAAGAATACTTATAAGATAATAACATATTCAAAGCAAATTGAAACCGAGTTGTCGAATGATACGAACATTGGTTTGAACACTAATTGATCAAGGCAAAACAACACACCAATTCTTAAAACATATAGATAAACGGAATATTTCATTACACGACAGCAACATGCACACGTTTCAATCTTCAAAAGCGGTAGAACCTGCCTCATTAGCTTCCTCAGCGGCTAATCTAAATCCCAATCTTAACAAATTATACATTAAACACTTTATAATTTAGATTTATCTCGAATATGGGTCCAATAACGAAAATATTCTATTCATATTTATCTCCAATATTCGTAGTTACCAAATAAAATACCAAGAATATTCAATATAATATTTTAAAAATATTTTTTAAAAAAGAAATTAACATAATACTCCAAATAATTACATAAGGAGGAAAACCCTAAACAATAACCCCAAAATATTTCGTTAAAATGTCAATATCTATATATTCACATATTCATTTAACTCTACAAAAATTAAAAATAGAAACACCTAACTTTGTATGGGCTACTATATAAACAATATAATAATAATACGAAAATTTCTATGAACAGCAAAATAAAAAAAAATTAATTTATAAGTATATCCTTTTTTATTCAAAAATAAAATAGAAAACTGTTTGATAGTATCCAATATTTGTATATATCAAATTAAATACAATCTCGATAGATTTGGTAGTAAAACATAAGAAGTAGCTATTATCTTAATACTCTTTATGTTTGTTTGTATAATAAATTATATAGGATAAACTCAAATAATACAAAATAATATTTATTTGTATAATATGCAATATAAGATAACATCAAATAACATAAAAAATAATATGAAATTATAGAACGGTTACAATCAGAAAGGCAAATATCTATCTATATCTCTTATTTTGTTTGTTTCAAAAAGTTAGATAGAGATTAGCTAATATCAACCCAAAAGATTATCATATAAAATAAAGATGCATTATATATTGTTATAGTTGTTATTGATATATATGTATTCCAATTTGATATATGTATCACAAATTATTACTAACATATAAGATACACGGATGCAATATTTCATCATTATTAGCAGTCGCCGTTTAGGTATCTCGACACGAATAAGATATTTATAAATCCAGTCTAGTTTACATGATATACCGATAAGAATTGTCACGTCACCGATTAGGTATATATCATCGTATACATTAAAATCATAGCGCCGGTGATTAATCATTCTGAGTATTAGTATTCTCAATATCGATTATTTTCAGTTAAGCATAATAAATTCAGAATATAAGAACTGTCGACAATGAATATTATTCCCAAGATATTACCGATTAACTTCGATTCATAATCATGTGTGATATTCGATGAACACGATAAACTCAATATAATCCAAAATATTTGATTAATATGATATAGTATAACCAAGAAAGATATCATAATCAAAATCTAAAAATACATCGAGATATCGATCATACGATAATGGTAATTATAAGTCCGGAAACACGTCTTCGAGTCTGTAACGACTCGTGCCCTCTCCCTTATACGTTCCGGACCACGTTGCAGACAGTGCATAATCTTCATAGACTCCATAATATATAACACATCATTCTGAACAGATTTAAAGCCTATGTATTACAGAAATATATTCGAAACAATAAAACAATGCGTTAAAAAAAACGTAAAAGAATACAGGTCGTACCAAATAAAATAAAGCCGCACGGTTAATCTTTTTATGATCGTAACTATATGATAACGCAACAGCAATCAAATTAAGT